CGGAATTTAAATATTTTTAATCAATATGTTTTGAAGTTTACAATTTGTTAACATTAGTTAACAAAAAGTACATTTAAAAATCTATAGGGTTGACTGCTCTAGACACCCTTAACTTTCTTCATTCCTATCTGATCCCCTCATACTTTTGAAATCTCTATTTTCCCCATTCAGAAAGTACGTCGCTTCACATTTCCAAAATCGAGTTAAACCATTGATTTCGTTTAATTAACCGGAAATTGTGTTTAGGGGAATGGCGTTTAGATTAGGTCGGTTCATAATCACGTTTAATATAACTCGTATTGTAACCCTAATTTGTGATAAATAGGTTCAGATGCATGTTTTAATTAAAATCAGATTAATATAAATGCGATTAGGTTAAAAACGACTATTGGTTAATTCTCGGTTAATGAAACGTAATCTCGATTTTGGAAATTTTGAAGACAATTAATTATATTAGTTCGTCTATAATTTAATCTTATAAAACTTTTTTCACATGAGATCTTTTGTTTTGAGCAAAAGAAAGAGGATCCTTACAGAGCATAAGGGCGATTCTTGGGAACATTGTGAGGAGAGGGAAGACAATACCGCCATAGAACCCGACCTCGAAGATTAAAAAGAGTTTCGACCTTCCTTCGGACAAGAAATAGTCACCGATGATCAAGAGACATCCAAAGGAGAAAACTTGGAAGACATATCCTCCAACATTGTCTGCACATGGAAGAAACCCATAGACATGAGTGCAAGCTGCCTTGGAGACGTTCTTTGGAGGATCAAGAGTGAGAAACTTGTAATCCAAGGCGTCATTGAGGCCATCAGAGATTAGGGTCGAGTTATTCAGAGGGAGAGGACTCAGGACACGAGAGCTCACACCAGAGATGATCAGAACTAAAGAGAGAAAGAAGAAGAAGAGATTTAATTGGCAATGTGGATAGGTGGGTCTCCTTATAAATGTGAATGTTTGCATATGTGCTGCTTTATTGTAAAAACGAAAGATAACTAGAAACTTAATGAGAGTTTTGTACTAAGGGTTTTGTGTTTTTTTTGTTTAAGTGACTGATGTTGAATAGAGAGAAGAGAAGAACAAGATCTATTCAGAAATGGCAATTGTTCTTAATAGAGTTTCGTTGCTTATATACTTGAGATCCACAACCACATTTTAATATTTTATACATATATATACATAACGTTTTTAAATACGAAAATTTCATTATTTACATTTTATAATGGAATGCTTGCTTTTTGTTTGTCAATGTGCTTCATATATTAAAGGGTATTTTATAATCACATTTGAAGTTTTAATACCCTGAAATGTCACACAAAAAAGTTTTCTCCCTTTAATCAAGTAAAAATGATATGGTTTGTGGAGTGCTTGGTTATTGCAATATAAAAACAGTATAAAATCTTAACAGTGATTAAAAATATATATCATTTATAATAAAACAAAAAGGTTACGTGAATCATCTACCCATTGGTGAACAAAATTAAACAACATCGATTAGGAAGATCACATTTCTCCATGCACGTGGGTTTGTCTTTTCTATGTATCACGTGAACTTGAAGTTTATTTACGCATTATCATCTTTCACGATTCAACAAAGAAAGCATCCAAGGAGCTATGTCTTATTAGAACATGTACATTGGTTAGAGCCTGGGATTCTCAACAATTTTATAATACTAAACTAACAATAAAATTAGTTTAAAACTCATTAATTGTTTTTAAAATTTTGTGTCCTTTATGGGTTAGAACCCCAAAAGCAAACAAAACAGAGGAATGAGCTCAAGCTACAGGCATCAATGCTAACTCTAGACAAACTAAAAAGGGATGTCTTGCAGAATTAAGCAAGACATCCTTTTTATGAACCACTCCAAAATCTCAAATATGCAGAAATCCGAGAAGGAAATCCATCCACTACAGCTCCATCCTTCTAACAACGTGAAGTACCTAGCCTAAGATTAACTTCACTAGAAATTACAGAGGAACAAATTCACCAAAAGTGTTCAAACCCAAGCACCCTTATTCATCTCTCAATTCCAATAAATCCATACATCAAACTACGTCCTTCCTAAGCTAAAAGTTCCAAATTCAACAGAAAACAAAATCTTTTCACTCAATTTAGAATTTAATTCACAAGCAGAAGAAAAGAAAAAAAAACAAAGTTTACGATGCTCTATATGCGACTCAATGATAACTCACCAACCAGAAACAAAGAAGAGCCCTTTTTGAATTGCCAATCTTCTAAACAACAAAATTGACACCTATCGCTACTATGCCCAACGAGCGGTTGCACGAACAAACCAGAGAGCGGACCGCAGAGCCAAATCACACTAGCCCAAGCGTGAGGAATCCCTAGCTCCTGAACGTACGGTGTGAGCAACGATGCTGAACCGCCCAACCAAATTGAATCCTACACGCGACGGAAGCTACACGGAGAAGCACACGCTTCGAAACCTTCGATGGAGCCACCACCACCGGTCGAGAAGAATTAGTCGGTCGTGGTAGAGGTGGAAGCTGTTGACAGTTACAAGACGATCGTTGGTGGTGGCGATTTTGATCGGAACTAGACATCGCTTTTCTCTTTCTGTCGATTCAGATCGACACCGAGAGAAGGCGATCGCCATCAGAGAGAGAGAGAGTGTCGCGATGAGCAAAAAAACTTTGGAACTTCCGTCTGATCTTTTCATTTTTTTTTAAACAACAACCAATCATCTACCGCCACGTAAGGACTCTCAAGAGTTCTCAACACTCTGAAACGAGAACCGGTCTTGGGCCATTTAATCAGTATTGATTTAATTTTGGATCTTTTAAGGTTATAAACCTCCAAAGACCAATGGACATGGTTTTAATTCGTTAATGTTGCGAATCAAATTGGTTTATCTCTCTGTTTTGTGTAGATAAACTTCCCAAATTGATACCGATTTGAATCCCTAAAGATCTAACTCCGAATTTGTTGTTCTTTGTTGTTGCAGGAAGTAAGGAACACAAAAACGTATTACGAGTTCCCAGCAACACGCTGGTACATCTCGTCGAGAGCCGGTCCTCTCGAAACCTTTGCTATAAACAAGAATGAGTTACAAGTAGCTAGGGTTATAAGAAAGTTT